CATGCACCAAGTTTTCACGTTTACGGAGTGCAATCACAGCAGAGCGCTTTAGTTTACGTTTGATCAGGGTAGCAATTTGCTGACCTGCTCTTGCTGAACTGCAGCTTCGACTCGGGGACAGGAGGCAGCTTCCTGGAAGGTTGTCTGCCCTTTGCTTGCGGTTTCTTACCGGCCGTGATGGCAGTCCTCTTAACTTGTTACTTAGCACGTTGAAAAGGCGAAAAAAAGTTCGCCAAATGTTTGGAGCACATCGTAAATGAGCCACTCGATTTATAACATTTCTATAAACAATTTAATTAAATACTTTTTATACATAGATATACTGCAACCATGCACTTACTTTCCCAAATTCCATCCTGCTTATCGGCATAATTTTCCAAATATGCCTGCTACTTCATTACTAATTACTCAATTTTCCAACTGCGCCTTCTTTGTTGGCTCGACATATCCTAAAAAGACATAAATTTACATTAAACAATAGAAATCGCAAAAATTAGCAAATAAAATACTCGCTTTGTTTTGTTGTCAAATTTCTGAGAAATGTGAATTCACCACGATGCGATACAGAAAGAACAAGGACCAGGGATGTAATTTTAAGTAAACGTATTATTCAGGGGCAAGGAGCAGAGCGTTCGGGGCAGCCATATTAATTTGTATCAAATATAACATTAAACGGTGGTTCTAATACATTTTTTGATATTATTAACCAGAGTACATACATTATATGGTATTTCTTTCCAAAATTAATGTACTATATGAACTTTTTTTTTTCAAATATTTCTTAAGTTTCTTTCATGAGTGCTGAAAAGCAACCATGCGTGTAAGAAATTGTGTGCTACCTAAAACTTCATCTCTGGAAACTTTATCCCCATAAAGGACTTCACCACAGTTTTTTTACTGGATATACTGATCTTTACACTATAATTTAGATATGGCTATGACATGCGCAAACTTATTTGTTTCAGTTTCAGTTTTACTATCGCCGGGAGTTGTTTGTCAATAGATATAAAATGCAACTTAGTTATAATTTACAAGTGTGTATTTAACCAATAAAAATCAAAGCAATGTACTTAAACAAGCACTACCAGCAGATATTTTCGTTTCTTTTTAGTAAATTCTTACCACCGTAAATTTATAATTTACACTAATAAATATTTATGTATGTATGTATGTATTTTGTATGCTTAATATTAATTTCACTTAAAATAAGAAAATAAACACTCTAATAAACACAATAACCATTGAGTAAATTTTTATTTGAACCAAACTCAATCATTTTGGCAATAATAAAGGATTAAACTTGCATCAACCAAAGAACTGTATATTTTTACCCAACAATGACTGGGTCAACTAAAAATATTGTCGGATCAAGATAGCAGATATACATTTGTTCAAAAAAATGCTCAAGTAAATTGCAGACTTTCGCCAAGGAGATATTTATTTCGCCATATCCAACTATGCAATTTGGTCACCAAATCTTGGCAATTATAACTAAACCATTTTCTGGGTGTATCCGACCGCGTAATCAAAATACATGTTTCCGAAGAAAGCGATTTGAAAGGGTGTAATAACGGTAAATAAAACGGTGGGAGAAAGAACACAAACGGCAATAACGCAAAATTTGCTTAATTTCACATTTAAATGGGAAATAATACCAAAATCTGACTTTTGCTTTATTTCCAACAAAGGTTGGATATAAAACAAATTTTGCCATATTTCCCATTGCTCATTTATACCATTTGTAATAAAAACAGTTTACTGACAGAAGAAACAAGAACTTTGTTTATTCCAAAAACATACAATTCAACAAAAAATGTGATATAATTCATATGAAGAAAGTAACATTCACAATGTTTTGTCGATTCTAGGGAGATGTAATTCAATACTCAAGAGTTCAGTTTCATTCCTTGCTGATTCTAAAAGCTATACAGAGTGATTGTGAACGTATTTCCTGTGTTCTTTTATTTTTGTTATGATTTCTTTTATATGCTCAGCACACTTAATTTTATACAGGTTTTCCGTTGGCCACTGGCTCAAGAATCTTGCTATATTTCTCAATTAGGCATAATGGCAAGTTTGAATTTGGTCTGTCCAGCTGCAGAAAGCAATGGGATAGCAGCTTTTCTTGTGCCTATATTCCCGAATTTGTTTTTAACGCGAAGTTTGCTGGGTTTCTTTATACAGCCCGTTTTTAATTGGAGTTATTACTATAATAAATTTGTATTACTGTTCGCTTCCATTTCGATCCAACGCGCATATTTATTATTAAACAAATGTCGGAGCAACAGACTTCGTTTACTTCAGAATACGGTTTCATCGAATACCCTACAAGAACTGAGGAATAAACGTTTGAAAGAAATACGTGTTGAATCAAATCGGTCTTTTGTTAATGCGCTTTTGCGTAGGTATAGCCAAGAAATATGATTATTTACTTGGAAGTCAATAAAGACATGGACAATGAAAACATCTGATGAGGCGGTTTAGTTTTTGGGATAAAGATTCTGCAGATGATTCACGGGCCTTTTTGCGTCGACGATGAAACGAAGAGCTGTATGAGCTTCCCAACGATAAAGACATAGTCCTCTAGCTTGGCCATGTCCTTCGCATGCACACCGACGCTCCAGCTTTGAAAGTATTCAACTTGGAACCCGCTGGTGGTAGCAAAGCAAGAGGGAGGTCCCCACTGTGGCGTCAGTTGACAAAATTTCTGGCAACGGGGGCGCTGCTACATTTCTACCATATTCTCAAAGCTCGCCAAAATAATTGTGAAGATTAGATCGAACGATGAAATATGCAAGTTTTTACAAGTAGCAGTCGCTGACCTTCTAAAAACAGAGTCCGTAAAGCCATCAAAATACGCTCTCACCCTGAGGAGTTATATTTCTAAGAGCGCTCCAATTTCAAACACTCAGAGCGCTAGCGTTATTTACATTCTCTTTACTATAAACTAGTCACATATTTCGCTCAGTCATAAATTTGCGTGAGGAGTATATGTTCGTATTGACGGCATCATGTGTATTTACATCGCTCCGAGTTATAAAGTGATGGGAAAAATATTTATCACTTACGGTTTTAAACACAAAACTTTAAACAACAAAACCGCACGGCTTATTTCGCCAAATTTTTAATTCATAAACTGATAATAGAGGAAAGAGCGCCTCTAGAAAAAGCTATGAGAAACAACCAAGCAAGCGACGCACAGTGTTTCGACTATATGGAGGCAGGTAGAAAAAAGTCATGGTGACCGTTGATAAAAAACCCGGTTGGGCTTAGAGAGGGAAAAGTAAAAGTCATAAATACCAAATTTTACATTATTTACTTACCCCCCTTCTTCACGAACGAAAAAAAAGGGAATGGGCGCGATACCGACTAATCAATTTAGTTGCCTTTGGCGATTAACCCTTTAAAGAAAGTGTTCCTTTTCCAACTGTAATCAATTATATATGTCGTGAAATATTCAGGTGAAGGTATTTACCATTTATTAGGTACTTTCCTATTTTCTTACCAAAAAATTTACTTTGAAATGTAGATGCTAAAGATTATTAGTAAAAAAAAAATGTGAGTACCGGTCCGTCAGGTCTTGACATTAGATGAATGTTTTAGAGAATTTTATGTAGTTTTCGAATATATTGTTTTATCTTTGCGCGCGACTTTGCAAGTATATGTAATTTTTAATTTTCTTAATTTTTGATTACCAGCTTCTTCTTGCATAATTTCGCGAAAAGAATTTTTCGAGCAATGAAAAAATCTCACCAGACATTGGGAAAAAATGAGTATTTACACCTACGTCATTTTATAGTATAACCTTTGTTTTCTGAGAGTGGGAAGCAGGAAACAAGATTTAACCAAAATTCGATCACATTTAATGCCTGGGCCTACATTTTTTGTGAATTTTGGACGTTATAGTTATCCAATCTTTCCCATATTTTATATTTAGGTTTTTGTAATAAAATAAAGACCACAAACTAAATTTCAACGAAATCGGATAAAATTTAATGTTTCCGCCCAGAAGACTAGAGGGCGTGGCAATTATTCCATCTTTACAAAATTTCATAATTCTCTCGTTCTAAGTAAAACTAGAGCACATGTCAAGTTTCAGTGAAATCGGTGCAGGTGTACTATTATTTCCACCTGCATCCATATAGTCGAAACACTGTGCGGTGCATCAAATTCAGAGCATAAATAAAATGATTGCTCAATGAACCTTCCCTGCTGCTTTAATGAATTTATCAACGATTAAAACCGCTGAGTGATGAAAGCTGGATAAGCAAAAAAGGCAGAACGCTCTTTTATGAGTAATATTTTGAGTGGCATAGGAGTGTGAGGTAAATATAGAGGCGAAAAACCTGAGCAGTATTAAAGAAAAACTAAGAGCGCTCTCTTTTTTAACTCATAAAAGAGGAAATCAAAATTGATTACGCACTTGAATTGATTATAGTGAGGGGCAAGATGGAAGCTTTATACAATGCACTATACACTAAACAAACTAAAAAAAAAAACAAATTCGCAATATTGTTGTTTTTCGCTTTCTGTCTGGGCTACATGCGAACCGTAGCTCCTAGAAATTTTTAGACAAGAAATCTGAAAATTAGAACGTTAAGCCTTCAAAATGCTTGTTTAAAGTCTCAATACGACCACCGAAATACAGCCTGTCAAAAATTGTCGAAAAATGTTGATTTTTTCCCTCCGTAATTTTTTTGAGTAGTGCCAAGCCAACATTTTTATTCTTTACTACCGAAGCCAGATGAACCCTCATATTTTGCACGCCAACCTGCGGGTCAACCTCGACCACTTTAGGTATCACCGGTCTCACATAAACATTCAATGTGTCAGCACTTGTTACGCGCTCACGCATCCTTCGAACTCTGTAGTTGCTGCGAAATTCAGGACATGATCTTTGGGACTATTAACGCTTTGTACAAGTGACAATGTTTAGAGGTTACCCCTATATATAAACAAATAAATCTCTCTTATTTTTATAATAGTTTAGATATACTTACCGGTCGTAAAATTTAAAAAAAATTTCGTCAACAACAAAGGTTACGTAAGGCTGTATCCCTGGCTTTCGGTGATCTGCGCCAAGATTTTTAGGCATATATGAACATAATAAAGAAAATATTAAATCCAATATTCCTTTGGATAGAGGATAACTTTCCAATCGGGATTCATTTTGCATTATCTCGGTTTTAAGATTACACAGATCTAAAATATAAAAATAAAGTAAATTTATATTGCGTACTGTAGCTTTTGAATATACAAAATTTTAAAATTAAACCTAACAAGATAACTTACTAATAATAAATTTTCAACTTTTGCTCAAATAGTTGCTTTCGGCTGCGAGAATAACACAGCAAGGAAAAAAGCAAACATGAAAATACACCAAACGTACTGCTTACAGCAACACCAAATTATTCTAAACTGCTTGCTTTGGGTGCTGTTTAAGCAAAAACAAACTGCGTTGTAAGGAAAAGCAAATGATATCATGTCTCCTTTCGCTTTTTCTGTTTGCTGTTTGTTTTTCTTAAGTCACAGCTAAGCAATTGCGAATGCATTGAAAATAGTCAAGCAATTTCAAACCCTGGTTTTATTACAGTAATATTATTGATTCTGAGAGGAGAAACACGATTGCACTGTTTAAAATGGAAAAAAATGTTGCCCCTCAATTTAAATAATGCATTTTTTTCATTCTTTTTTATTTGCATGCAGCTGTGCATCGTTCTCACAATTTTATATCACAACACGTTGTAGTGCTATTCAAGATCTTTATCTTTTTTTTAATGTTAAAGGGCCAATTTATTTGTTTAACTTGACTTAGTCTATGAAATACAATACTTATTCTTACAGACTATAGGCAAACTGAAAGTTATTACTAAGATCACTCGATAAATACCATGTACAAATGTATGTAAGAACAGAACTCTAGTTAAATAGGGAAATTAAAAATAACAGTTCAGAATATTAACAAATACATATTTTTCAAAGGAAAAATCAATTGAGATAGAACTCGAGATCTTATTTAAATCACTAAGTGCGCGTGGAACTGGGGCATTACGTGCATTCTCAGTTTTACAATAGCCCTCATAGAAAGGTAAAAAGACACGTAAATTACTCTGCGGAATATTAAAATTGGTACGGTCCAATTAAAAAGTACAATCCAAAGAGCCTCTAACAACATAAAGGAGAGTGAGAGTACCGATCTCCTAGGTCTCTAAGGTCTTAAGATTTATTAGAAGCAAATGAGAAGGCGTTGGTTCAGAAAAATTCAAAGATCGCAAAGCGAATTTAAGGAACACTTTCTGAACACGCTCATTGCGACTAATAGAACGTACCATATTCCAAAGAGGACCGCACGAAGGACGCATATAGCAGTTTGAGGGTATATGGATCAGAGAATTGTGCACAGTTCCGCCTGACGAAGCATAGAGTCGAATAAGATTTTCTAACAATGTGGTCAATATGACTATTAAATGTGAAATTCGATGAAAAAATAATGCCAAGATCTTTTGTTTCTTCAACAGATTCTAGGAAGCAGTTACAAATATGGCAACGAGTCAACAAAACATTATGATTTTTTTCAAAAGTAATTTTGAAGAATTTCTTAATATTCAAAGAAAAGTGATTTTTAGTACACCAAAGATGCAAATTATCCAAATCAGTTTGAAGTTGATGCACGTCACTCAGGTCTTTTGTGGAAGAAAAAATTTTTGGATCATCCGCATATAGCATATAATTAGTGAAGGACAAACAGGTACTTACATCGTTAATAAACACAACGAAAAGTAAAAGGCTTAAAATACTTCCTTGAGGAACCCCAGAAGAAGCAACAAAAGATGTGGAAGATGTGCTATCAATAGTGACTACACATCGCCTGTTGGACAGATAGGATTTAACCCATTGCAGAAAAACTGACTGAAATCCGTAGCTAGCTATTTTACTAATTAAAATAGAATGAGACACTTTATCAAAAGCTTTAGAAAAATCTGTATAAATACAGTCAACCTGAAGTCCTCTTGTAAAGGGCGCAATGCAGTATTCACTGAAAACCGCTAAGTTGGAAACTGTGGAACGGTTGGGCACAAAACCATGTTGATTTTGGGAGATTAAGCTTTTGGTCGCAAAACTTATCTTTCCCACAACAATATTTTCAAAAACTTTAGAAATAGTTGAAAGCTTAGCAATAGGTCTATAGTTACAGACATTATTTTTATTGCCAATTTTAAACAGGGGACTAGGATACGTAACTTTCCAATCGTCAATGAAAGTACCTGAGGCAAGAGACTTATTAAAAACAATACGTAATGGTAAAACCAAAGCTGGTAGGTTTTTAATAAAAAATACAGAAAAGCGATCTACATCAGTTTTTAATGCCTGTTTAAGCTTGGCGATCCCATACGAGACATCGTCCGAAGACAAAACCAATGAGCTAAAATTGAGAGGGCAGTTAGTTGAACAATCGAGATCGAAACTACGAACCCTGTCACTAGAAAAATTTGAACTGAAAAATTCAGCTAATAGATTCGCAACGTCACTACGGTTACTATCAAACTTTCCCTCGAGATATACTGCTGAAGGTATACTAGAATTTAGATTTAACATATCTCCAAAATGCTTTGGGATTAGATTTAATATTCGACTCCACGCCAAGTATGTAGTTCCTGTAAAGAAATTTATCCAAACAGTTAAACTCTTTGAAATATTTCTGGTATTTGACAAACAAAATTTGGCTACCAGTTTTCTTACATTTGAAAAAAAAAAATTATTTCTAAGATTCTTTAGACTTTTTAGTTTTCGATTGTACTACGGCAACTTATAAGGCTTTTTCATTAAAATTGGAATGTTATTCATAAAAAACTCAGACAGAACTGTCTTAAAAGCATAATAACATTCTGAAACATCAGAGGAGGAGAGTAACCAGCGAAGAAAAACTCTTAACATAGGCGAGGGCAAAGAAAGACGTGTTAACCTCTTTGACGGGGAAGAAAGACGAAGAAGACTTAGTTTCGCGGTCAACTATGTTTGGGAGTATACGAATTCCCCAAAGAGTTTTTCCGGAATGATGTTGAATCCATGTTTACGTGTCTTTTTTCGCAAATGTTTTTCACGCATCCTTTTTCGCCGTCAAAACACCCGAGCGTCTTTATTCGTGTCAAGTAACTATATTATTATTATTACGTCGGAATACCCGCGTTGCGACCTAAAAAGATATATATATATTGTGCTAAATCCTAATTGTAATCGCTCCAATATTAGGCTATTTAAAATGTGCCTAATGGACAGGGGGCACCCAGAGGGAAACCTGACAGCCGAGAATTGGAGGACTGTCCTTGTAGGTCTCTGCCGGGTGTACAAGGAAATTCTCCAAAGGAATCCTGGCCCTGCTCCTGTCATTCGCGACGCTGGCTTATACCAAGGCCGTATTAAATTGGTATCGTGCGCCGACGAAAGGTCGGCTAGGCTCTATAAGGAGGCCATATCTGCGCTTGGGGAACTGTGGCCCAGCGCTGACTTAGTGGCAGTGCATAGGGATGAAATCCCTTGCAGGCCGCGAGCCAGGCTATGGGTCCCGGAGGAACCCGCTAATGCGCAGGGAATTCTGGAGATTATCCAGATCTCCAACGACACACTACCAGCCCTCGATTGTAGAGTAGTGAAGGNAATATTTCTGGTATTTGACAAACAAAATTTGGCTACCAGTTTTCTTACATTTGAAAAAAAAAAAATTATTTCTAAGATTCTTTAGACTTTTTAGTTTTCGATTGTACTACGGCAACTTATAAGGCTTTTTCATTAAAATTGGAATGTTATTCATAAAAAACTCAGACAGAACTGTCTTAAAAGCATAATAACATTCTGAAACATCAGAGGAGGAGAGTAACCAGCGAAGAAAAACTCTTAACATAGGCGAGGGCAAAGAAAGACGTGTTAACCTCTTTGACGGGGAAGAAAGACGAAGAAGACTTAGTTTCGCGGTCAACTATGTTTGGGAGTATACGAATTCCCCAAAGAGTTTTTCCGGAATGATGTTGAATCCATGTTTACGTGTCTTTTTTCGCAAATGTTTTTCACGCATCCTTTTTCGCCGTCAAAACACCCGAGCGTCTTTATTCGTGTCAAGTAACTATATTATTATTATTACGTCGGAATACCCGCGTTGCGACCTAAAAAGATATATATATATTGTGCTAAATCCTAATTGTAATCGCTCCAATATTAGGCTATTTAAAATGTGCCTAATGGACAGGGGGCACCCAGAGGGAAACCTGACAGCCGAGAATTGGAGGACTGTCCTTGTAGGTCTCTGCCGGGTGTACAAGGAAATTCTCCAAAGGAATCCTGGCCCTGCTCCTGTCATTCGCGACGCTGGCTTATACCAAGGCCGTATTAAATTGGTATCGTGCGCCGACGAAAGGTCGGCTAGGCTCTATAAGGAGGCCATATCTGCGCTTGGGGAACTGTGGCCCAGCGCTGACTTAGTGGCAGTGCATAGGGATGAAATCCCTTGCAGGCCGCGAGCCAGGCTATGGGTCCCGGAGGAACCCGCTAATGCGCAGGGAATTCTGGAGATTATCCAGATCTCCAACGACACACTACCAGCCCTCGATTGTAGAGTAGTGAAGGTCAGTGAGGTTAGGGAACAACAACGTTATATTACCCTGGTAATTAACGAGGAATCTCTCCCGATCCTCGCTGACTGCAATGGAGTCATCAGCTACGGCTTTTACTCCATCACTCTCAAAACCCAGAAAGGGAATGAGGGTAAAATTTCTGAGCCGGGAAGCACCTCGAGTGAACCCGATAATCTGCCACATGAAGAAGGTCTTATTTCGAGTAGGGCAGAAAACGCCTCGAGCGGTCCTGCCCCTAGCCAAGAAGTCCAGGAGGTTCCCGTGGTCCCTCGTCTGGCGGAGGAATCAGACTCGGCATCAGAATTGGAAAGCGATACGCAATCCGCTGCTGGAGACGGGGCTGATTTCGGCCAATGGACGAGGGATTTCGAGAACCTGTTCCTGGCATCGGCAACGTTGGACGCCGGAGGAAAGGGGAGGAGTTAATTTTTGTCCAAGAGCCCTGGGTCGTAAAAAACAGGGTCTGCGGACTTAACTCTGATGCTTACCAAATTGTGTCGGCCCCAGTGGCAGGTAAAATCAGAGCATGTATATTAATCAAGAAAACTATTTCTTATAATTTACTCACTCATTTTAGCGATGAAGACACGGTGAGCATCAATGTGGAGGGAAAATCCACCAAACTCTGGCTGGTCTCAACCTATATGGCTCACGATCGCCAAGACTGCCCCCCTGCTCGGTTACTGGAGTGGTAAAGAGTGGTAGGAGCCGATGCAAACGCGCACCACTCGTTATGGGGTTCTACCGATATCAACCCAAGAGGTGAGTTATTACTTGACTTCATATTATCTTATGATCTAGCTATTTGTAATATTGGTAGTAGACCCACCTTTGTTACCTCAAACAGGGAGGAGGTACTAGATATTACCTTAACGTCCAATTTTTTCTTGGAGAGTATTAGGGAATGGCATGTACTAAACGACCACTCATTCTCTGACCATATGTACCTATCATTCGAAATCTCTTTGGAATCTCCGGCTCCGATTCTGTACAGAAACAAGAGACGTACCGACTGGACTGTGTTTAGGACGGTACTATCGGAGTCTCTGCTCAACGACGCTTCTCTCAGTAGGCTCGGCTTACTGTTACCATCTGATGAAGCGGAGCCTCTATTCGCAAACCCTGCTTCTCTCGGTGAGTTAAGCTCATCGGAACAATTTGAAGAAGCCGTAGGTTGCATCACCAATGCATGTAATACGGCCTTCTCTGCGTCCTGTCCTATTGTGCTTCCGAGAGGAAAGAGGAAGCCACACTGGTGGACTAAGGAAATTGCCTCTTTAAGGAAGGAAAGCAGGAAACTCTTCAACGCTGCAAAGCGTAATGGTTCTTGGCCTGCTTACAAAGCAGCCTTAAAGAAATTTAAGAATGCCACCAGGAAAGCCCAAAGGGACTCCTGGAAGGATTATTGTGATAGCATAGAGGGACAATCGGAGGGTAATCGCTTGCGCAAAGTGCTTGCCAAAAATCCGACGAACCCAATGTTTATTCAGAAGGCGAATGGCGACTGGACATCATCCCAAGAGGAGATGCTTGAGGTTCTAATGAGTGCCCACTTTCCAGGGTGTACTGAGAAGCCTGGCGTCCCTCGCACAATTTCTGGACCCTCCTCAGAGTTCATAGATTTTATTGATGTAGAAAGGGTAGATTGGGCCATAAGGTCCTTCCAGCCCTACAAATCTCCAGGCATGGACGGCATCGTCCCTGCCGAACTTCGGGCAACGTCTGACATTCTATGTCCGATGCTTGTTTCAATCTATAAGGCTTGTCTCAGACTTAGCTTCATACCCAAGGGATGGACACTGGCGAAGGTTGTGTTCATTCCCAAGGGCGGCAGACCATCCCACGTGAAGCCAAGCGACTTTCGACCGATTAGCCTTACATCTTTCTTCCTGAAGGTTCTGGAAAGACTACTGGACGTGAAGATCCGAACAGAAATTGATTTAAGTAAATTATCTAGCTGTCAGCATGCCTATTGGAAAGGCAGGTCTGTAGACACAGCTTTGCATGGTATTGTCAGCACCATTGAAAAGGCATTAGCGCTTAAGGAATATGCATAAGGCGTATTCCTTAACATCGAGGGTGCCTTCAATAATGTTCTCACAGAAGCTGTTCTCCGCGCCCTAACTAACCTCGGTCTGGAGTACCCTCCGGTAGAATTTGTTCATCGCCTTCTAGGCTGCAGAACTATATACTCGGAGATGGGAGAGGTATCGGTAACAAGGTATGCAAACCGCGGCACCGCAAGGCGGTGTCCTCTCCACACTCCTGTGGAATCTAACGGTGAATACTCTGCTGTCGCAGCTACAGAGCACAGGCTGTCAGGTAGTTGCCTACGCTGATGATCTGGCCCTGACGGCGGTAGGTAAGCACCCCCAAGTTCTATGTGATCTGGTCCAAGGCG